TTTCATCTCAAATCACATTGGGAGAGCTGCAAGCAATAAAATACCAACTAAATGAATGGGTAAAATAACTGTAACAAAACTTGCAATGCAGCTGGGATGAATAGCAAAATCAAAGGGAAACAAAATGCTGAAACAGATTCACATAGACACAGTCTCTGATGATAGAAAACTGACAACCTTGCTTACAAGCCATACTGCCCAAATCTGCTGAATATACATCTACAAAAGATACAAACTCTATCAACATTCATACAGAGACCATGCATACATATAAACCTGTAATAATTGTACCAGACACTAATTAATACATTACTTAAATGGTGAATAATTTTAATTGGAAATAGAACATATGCTGCCATTTAAACACCACAAACAGATGAACATTATCCCAAACTGGTGTTTAAATTTAATAAAATTCTTTCTAACCAAAAGTGTTTCTTTCTTCCAGTTGTATTCTTTGGTAAAGTGACCACTCATACTATCAGCAGTTAGAACTGCTTTCAAAACATACAATTTGTAACTTCTACTGTCAACATTTTCTTCAACACTATATTCCAACGATTGAGAGATGGCAAGAGTTTTACACAACTGCCCACCACTACCATACATTCCAAAACAGCGGTAAGTGCTGGTGTGACAAAATGAGCATGTGTGCTTTACAAACTCAAGCAAAACCTGATGTTACACAGAAATGGTGGTGGAATGCTCAAGGCAACCTGTTTCTCCACTATAAATGCTCCATCAACTTTCAATCTGTGGTTAGCACCCAAGTTCAGTAAGCTGTCAATTACCTACAGAGCCACACACATGACAGGCATCATTTTCACATTCATATCAATTATTGTGTAGTAAGTATTACAACTGGTAATGAACCATTAAACAAACTCTATAGTTTCCAATTTCCCTGAATCACTATATCAGAAGTTAGGACAGGACTAGACCTAAACCCCTCCATTGCAACAATATTTAACTATCAAAGCCTGTGAAGATGCTCCAAGCAATCCGACGGTAACAGACGATCCTGGAAGCAAAAACCTGAATGTGCCATAAATTTGTCCAGAAGTCATTCATATTTCCTCAGCAAGACCTCAAATGCAACTGTGTGTGTGCAAGTTGCTTTCAGGAGAAATGATTACTTCAGATCTCCAAAGGCAGTATTTTCACACAACAGAAATGACAGACACAACAGTGAGATACTAAGTTCTTGGAGCATAACATTCTACCCAAACGCAGAATAGTGTGAAGGTATGTGTAAAGACTCCGTTCAGCACTCCAGTCATTCAAGATGCTTAGAGTCTGGTAATATCAGAACACACATCTACATGCATGTGATGTTCAAGATATTACTCATAATACTGGGTAAATACTGATTCAGTGTACAATTTTCATGTAAGATGAAGTTTTGTCACATGAGGCAGTAAGTCAACAAACAATGAGAGAAACTGCAATTAAAACCATACCAAAAATACTCCATTCAGCTCCAAATCATGTTCTACAGATCCCTTTTATGTATAGCATTCAAAAATGTTTTATCAATATCTAAAAATTCAAATTCTCCTGACAAGCAGGGTAGCTCTTATGTTGCATCTCAGAATAATAAGATGATGTGTATGGCAAAATTAGCATTACTATTAAAATGTTTTGAACTAAAAGAAAGGCATTTTTCAAATGAACAACACTTAAAGTATGCACTTGAATATAATACACTGTAAACTGACAAACTTTTTTAACTAGTCCTCCACATTACTGCACAATAGCTTACCTCACTTTATTCCCTAAGGATTCACACAACGTAAACAACTTCAGTGAGGAATATCAATGTTATGAGATGTGAATTGCACACAGGAACTACAAAGAAGAACAAATATCACCAGTTGCCTGACACCACAGAGAGACTACAATTTAATCTTCAACGAAACAGCATTCCTAATGAGTATCAGAACACTAAATGTGGCTACTAGTGCTTTTCAGTACAATTGATGGCTGAAGAGTGCACCAATCAGATACCCTGTGGCTTGAAAGGAAGTAAGGGGGGGGGGATAAGAAGCAAAGAAACATAAAACATACAATGGTGCCAAATGTAGCTTTGTGAAACGATACTTTCCAGTGCATGTGAACTGTTTTGTTAAATGTATTTGCATGTAAACAATCAAATACTCATGAATACTGTATATTAATCTGTAAACCAGGCTATACAAGTCCATCTACAAAGGTTACAAAACTGCACATAGAACAGGTACAGACTTCGAACAACAAAGTATGGCTGCCAGTGTTTCTATCACATGGCTTCTTAACTGAGCTCCTGCTGCTTATCAGCAAACCTCCTTTGCACCCACTGGTCACTCGGCCACCAACTTACCAACTTACTAAAAAATATCACAATTTTAAGCAAACATTCTCAGATGATTTCAATCACACTTTTCATGTTCGTTGTGTGGAATTTTGTTAGCTCTTAATAGTGTGCTTAAAGCTACTAAAGCATTCCATTTGGTGAATCCAGTATCTCAATAACTTCTTGCATATTTCCTCTGACCCTATAATGCACAGCAGTAACAATCTGTAAAAACATGTTCCAACATTTAACAAATATGTATTTTTCCCAGAGTGTATTTATGGGTTTCATTCAATTATCAAAACAGCATTAACCAACAAATGTTTAAAAGCAAAGCGCTGTGTCACTTCCCTCAATAGCACAAATCAATTGATATGTGTATGGATAAGCACCATCTCTTCTTTGAGGTTAAACTAAATTGTTTAATGGCAGTCAGATGCTTCAAGCATTAAAGGACTTTTAACAACTTAACTAGATCTTTCAGAACATATTTCACTTTTTCAACATTACATCAGACATGCTGCCACTGAGCATATGTGAACCAATGAAATAGCATCCCAATACTGTTAACACTTCAACTTGTGTGTCAGCAGCATTATGTAAAAATAAAAAAGCCCTAGTTCCAACAATGACGTTAATACTTCAACAAGAATAAAATCCTAACAACTGCTACTACAGATGTCACTAAAATAGAACCTAATAAACATTCGACAGATGCCAGATCTACACATCACTGAGTAACACTATGTTGAGGGAAATAGAAATACTTCATTTAAATGTTAAATATGGCTGCTAAATAATGTCATGATGTCAAAATGGGGAATACAAATGTACAAATAAATACACTTCTTAAATGACTCCAGACTGAGGAGACAAATTTCAATCCTCAGCAGCGACACTTGGAATTTGTCCCATGTTGAGGTACACACTTAGTAACTGTAATTATGAGTACTCGTAAGGATAAACAGCAAAACTTCTTGATGCATACTCCCAGGAATAATCAATTTTGCACCCAACTAAATAAAACCTTCTACTTAAAGCCTGTGCTTACCTTGTTTTTGATAGCCAAATTACTATTGCATGTAACTGAAGCAACCTCCAAGAATCTGCGAAATGTTACAACAAAAATATTCACAAAATTAGAGCAACTAGCTGACTAGCATAAGACCTGTCAGAATTGATGAGAATTAACCTTATTTGTGCTGAAGAGTTAATACAATTTATTAAAACATTACCTTCACAGAGGCTGACCCCTTCCATTCGGTGAGAGCCAAACTCCACTGTTAACAAACGGACCAACACAACCTGACTCCCACCAAACAGACTCACCCAGACCCCACTATAGCCTCATATGCATTTCTTGAAACCAAGAGTTGATATCGTCAAAACCTGACTTCAATTTGTTCTGCATCACACAAATGGCACATACATTCAGTCAAGCGTAATGGACATTGGCTATTATATTAGGAGTTGACAGATACAAACTGTAAAGTGATTGAATGTCTGCAGGTTGGCCTCTAAAGGAACTAATAAGCTGCCCCACATATAACAATAACAACCATCAAAAACTGCACTTAAGTAAAATTAGAAATACGCTGTGGATCATGACATTTATTAGCCAGACACAGTAAGAAGTGATTTCATGGTCAGTAACTGGAAGCTGAAAATCCTGACAGCATTACTATTGCAACGGACAATTATTTAACATAATACACTAAGAGTCCTATGATCATTATCCCATAAGGTCAAAAACCACTTTGCAGCATTGCCATAGTAACATATGCATAACATGTCCACACATGCATGATGGACATGAGCTTTTATATTAGGAGTAAATGGTATTTAATTCTTACTGGCATCAAACTTCTTTCCAATATTATACCATATTCAATCAGGATTCAGAAACTAATGGAAAAAACTAGTATTATTCACATTAAACACAATCTCAGATCAAAAAGTGTCTGCTTATGAAATATAAAAACACTTCTACTTACATGATACAGAACACACATGGGTGTTCCTAACCAACTAGAAAATGTTTAATGCCTCATGAAGTGAAGTGATCCTCGAAGCCCCACTTCTACAACATCCATACTGGTAGTTTAACACTGCTAGTCTCAATCCAATACGGAATGCATTTAATATGTCAAGCGTAAGTTGATAACGACATGGTTTTGTTCGCTAACCTTAAAAAGTGCCAAGACACCAAATGATATTACCATTCATAAATCATAGTCAAGTTTTGTGAGTGAATTCTGTAAGGGCTGCAACGATAAAAAAAACACTTGGCAACTTCCAGCTGACGTAAACAAACGATCACGGTTCACCTTGGACCCGTAGCATTAAGGAGACTAAGCTTGTCTCTACAAATAATACGAGGAATGTCCTTTATATGGAAGGCATATTCTCAAAGACAAGGACGATAAGCCTGCATCAGACGAAGAAACAAGTTGAAATTCTAAAGCATGAACCCCGAAATGCTGTAGACCTACCTTCCACAAACACTTAAGGTTGTAGAATTTTCTGACGGCAGTTCCTTCAACAAGCTGACGACGCAGCACAGATCCATAAGGATTACAACCTACAAAATGTTGCACTAAAAATCCCAGCACTCCTCACCATTAAACATCATGACAAATTATAGTTTAAAAAACGTCAAGATGTCGCACAAAAACCACAACATTCTTCTTACACAAAACAACACCGCTTATCTCCTGCTAACTACCAGCAGAAGGGATGATCGAGAAGGCTAGCTACTCGTCATCCCTATTACGGGGCCACAACTTCAGGGACATTCGAGCGTCATCACAAACAAGGAGATTGCAATCCCAAATCGGATATATTCTCACTACCACTTTGACAAACCTGATCATTGTTTGCATTTGTCAAGCAGCTTTTAATCCCAAAATTAGACAAAACATCGAGACACTACGCGAATATATTCCGCCACTGGCATTTCAAATGTCTCTAAAAATCGATTACAAATCCTGTAATGCGCATTGTGCAACAACTGAAGGCAGGTTAGGGATTTTATTTCATTCGTAGTAACAGCGTCACTCCAAAATCCACCAGTTTCGTCGCTAAACGGCCACCATGCGACAAATAAATGTTTAAATGGGAAATTAATAGACGCTTCATGCACGTACCGATTTTCATGCAATGAATCGTTACATTGGACTAAAAGCTTCTAGAAGCCACAAACCGTGTTTATATTTAACACCATGTTCTACTAAATTCAAGCATTCGTTTCACATAAAGTATCAAAAACCATATTTACTGCTATTGCATGTACGATCAGTAACTCAGTCTTTCAGTAGAAATGCAAGTTATGGATGGAAGGTGATTTTCAAAACTTCTGTATAAGTCTCAAAAGTACATCATACAGCTGGCAAAATAAATTATAGGCAAAACGGTCTGCTACAAATCGAGGCGAACGCGCTCAGCACAAAGCCTATAATATAAATCAAGTTTTAATTTCAAGAAAACTGACAAGCAAACATGCCACACCTCTGCCGCCATTGAATTCCTCCTACCGCTTCAAAAGTGGAACCACCGAGCGGCCCCGCAAGGCGCACAGTTAGCTTGGCTGAGCGACAAAACTTCGCCCGGGCAAATAGCAGGAGGAGAAGGCCGCCACACGAGTATGTGGGGTGGGAAGGAGTCTGCTGTTGGTCCGCATCGGAGTGTCGGTGCGTGATGGCCTTATCCCATGATGCAGCTGGCTGCGGGCAAAGTGCCAGCTGGCGGGCTGGCATGATCATGCGCGTTAGACCGAGTGAAAACGGGAATACAAGAAAAGCAAGCAAACCAACAGCAATACGTTGACGTCATGCCAAACAACGAAACAGGTCGCCCATTTCCCAAGTAACTTATAAATCACGGGTACAATGAGACGTAATTCAGGGTTAAAATCTGTTGCACAACCCGTCTTCATTGGCAACTTCCGCTTACGGAGGAAAGAGGGCATTTATTTGCCTCGGAATCCCACTCACTTCAGAATCTTTGGTCACGCCCCCACGGTCATCACTATACAACTATTCCTTTGAAACGTTTCGCCATCTAAATTAGTTATTAATCGTTACCATATAGCAAAGTACCTTGCGAACTAATGCAGACGTGTATCAAGTCCTCACGTTGGAAACTTGGTGAAATGATTTGGCGATACGCATATCTTCCAGAACGAAACTTGCAAGTTCTCCTGTTGGTCTCTCATGCTGACTTTGTCCCACAAACAACTGGTTCCTGGCTGAGAACACGTAAACGTTATATTTTTCCCCATGTTCCAAGATGAAAGTGACCCAGACCGAGCGAAAAGTTGCTTGCTGCAGGCGTAAAATAAGTGCGGCAACATAGCACTATCAACGGTGTTGCCCGGACTGCAATGTTGCCACGTTTACCTCGCTTTCACTATAAAATTCCGGCATGCTAATTTAGTTTATTCGCGAACAAGAACTTCAAATGTAAAACAGGGCACATCCATGCTTCATTTCCAAACGAGAGGTGTGAATTGGAATTACGAAGTAAGCTATGATTTGTGCCACTTATACTTTTTATACATCTGGCAATGTCGCCCTCCAAACCTTTCCCCTCTTGCCGCTCTAAAACAGTGGTTGAATGAATCGATACAGACGACGAAGAAAGCAAATTTGAACCTTCGGAGCTTCAGTACATAAGGGCGAGTTTAGAAGCACCATGTGTATAAAAATAGCCGTAACGTACACTCACCTTATAGGTGCACTTTGATTTCGTTGTTCAAAATATTTCTTGGAGACCGCCAGTGAGTAAACAAACAAAAATGTTCTCCACTGCAATTCAGCATCATACATACAAACAATACTACACACTATAGTATACCCTTGAAAACATATTCTACTCCATCTAAGTTGAAAATTTCAAGATAACTTGGTATTTGAGCTTCGGTAGACCGGTTTTCCCATTAGACAGAGGTTCGTTTCCATACTTCCTCCCTTCCTTACCATCTCGCCCCGCCTTCGTTTTCTGTCTTTCTGGTTCCTCCAATTCCACCTTGTCACCAACAAAACAAGTTCTTCCATTGCAACGTTCGTTTAGTAACCATACTTGGCAACATCGTAGCAATGAAATAAAAATCTTCAACGAGACCAAATATTTGTAAATTTAACCTCGTGTTAAAGAAAAAGAAAAGTCTTGTTCTATAGGTCAACACTGAAAAGTGCTGCTAATATTGCTTCCGAAAGGGCAAACAAAATTTTATAACCTCACGAACTACACAAAATGACAGTTTCGACAAACACATCACATAAAGTCAACTTAAAGCACTAGAAAATAAACATACGTAACAGGTTCGTAATGAAAGTGTTACAAACAATAGTATATTAGCAGACGACAACACTAGTCCAAGTACTAAAATAAAATGTCGTAATCCACTCCTTACCTCGTGTATATTGAGTTTCACACCACACACTATTTCACACGAACTCGTACATGACGTTCTAATATGCAGACATAACAACAAATCACCTTTTCTAACAAACACAATTTATTCATCTTCCCTCCCGACGTTTGAGCAGGTGACCGAATGAGGATCATGGCCGATGTACACATTCAGCGCACGAAGCAACAACGCCAGGTCTACGGGGTGGGGGGAGGAGAGACATGTATTTGGACTCGTCCACTCCGGTTCTCATTCGTCATTACGAGCTGTTGCGAGCCGTGTAATGACGGATGCCCTTTCTTAAAATAAACTTTGTAAATTTCTACGAATGTTACAGGTAGTCATAATTACACATTATTTTACTATTTTGAAATATATCACAAAATGCAATGTTTATCCTTCAGGTGTTACGTCATACACTGTAACAAAACCCTGAACCAAAACATTCCTGATACCTTACACACCCGAACTAGCTCCAAAATGGACTAACCCGAAACTGAACGCAACTTCCCATACAAAACATTCGCCCACTTTGAACAACTTGATATAAGAAATAAATTGCTTTATCAATGATTCTACGACTAAAAGCACGCGTAAAAACCAGGGTCATGCGTTAAACATGGAAGACGATTAATATGAAATCGTAACTTGACAACATGCCAAATAAGCTGTCACATTTACAACTACTTGAATGAATATTACCGTGTATATGTTACCTCTTCAAACACAGAATTTAAGACAATTTAAGCACACGCATCCAATGATGAAAACAATTTTGGTGTTGTATTTTAACCATTATAATATATTTCTGCATAATTGGAGTGACTTAAAACAAGATGTAGTCACACATCTCTCCCAACTAAAGAGTGTTTCACATAAACACATTTCATAACATTTACCTTGAAACTTCTACTGATGATTATATGATTTTCCGATTTCTCAGACGCACACTTAATGTCCATCCGCCATAGAAAGATTTGCCACTAAAATTTAGATCTTGATGACGTCAAATTGTTTAGACTATACCACCAATCGGAAACGACTTGCCCTCTCACATAATTTAAATCATTTCGATGAACATGCGTTCTACATTATATATACTAAACTGTAACTGGAAATAATTTTATCTCTAAGTGTAACGGTTCAACTAACACACGTGGGCAATAGTTTCTTGAACAATTAAAAGCAGATAGAAATTAAATTACATATGCTTGAATATCGCCATCTTAGAAATGTAAACAATGCTACCAACGGATTCATTTCCACTTCGAACTTGACGTGTACTACAAGAGAAATTTAATTTCACATAATCACACGTGTCACAACACGCACCCGCCTTGAACCAGAGTTCGTCCGTTATTAGAACAACAAATTGCTTACAGCAGTACCGCAAATTGTTCATGTGGTGACACCGTGCGTTTACAGGTGTTTTCTTTTACATGTGTGATAAAGGTTTTATAAATCCGTTAACAACCATTTCAGTGTTTATACAAATAATTTGAAATCGTGAGAACATAGAAATTTCCAAGGTTATTTTAAAATATTTCAGGTCTTTCAAGTCCTTATCTCTGTCGTGAAAATGCACGCATATTCTTTCTTCCAGATCAACATGCACTTCATCTATAGTCTTCTGCTTCTCGTATTCCCACATTACACATTGGCCTCCGTGGATCCCAAGAATGTACGGTGTTTGGGCAAGTATTTGTAGTGTTTACATTTTTATTTTATATGTGGTTTTATTTCACGACTCTGTAGTGACGGATGATACTAAAGGATATGGAAGGAAGCAGTCATTGTTTAGTTTAAAGTACTGCCCCACCATTTGTAGGGTCTGAGGAAGACTACTTAAATCCTCAGAATAGCCGGTCTCTGGGTCGAGATTTGAACCCGGAACCTCCCGATTGCGAAGCAGAAGTGCTTACCACTTGGCCGTTGGTTTGGTTGTGGTGTCATGTTCCATTCCTGGTTGAGAACGAAACTAAATCATTGTTTCAGTGTGCCAGAGTGTTGTAGAAGAAATTGACAGTGTAATTCAGAAAGTTGATCCAAAGAGGACCATGGAAGTTGGGAGTTACAGACTAGATTCTATGGGGAACCAAAAACAGAAAACTGTAAGTAAACTTTTTGACTGTGGTCTTCTGGTATGTGACACCATATAGGCTTCTGGATGGTTACCAGTTTGTTGGAGTAACCTGATGTCTCCAACTTCAGGATAGAATTATGTCAAAATCCAGAGGACCACAATGTAAACTTTCACTGCTATAAAAGCCAGGAATTTCGTGAAAGTAATTGTGTTGGTTGTCAGTTTACCACTAGCTATTCTCTACTCCTGTAACATAACCGTTAATAAAGTAGATAAAAAGGATGGTAATTTTCCAACATTTTCTGTTAGTGATATTGTGTTTCTTTTCCTAAAAGTGTTCCCTTATTCCACATGAACCCAGTTATCTAGAAGAAAAAGCACATCTTTTGACCAGCAATAATAATCATCAATAGTAATGTTCATATGTAAAATAAATACTTTTAAAGCCAGTACAGAATTTTGAAATTAACCTACTGAAATTCTTTTTGATTTTGGGGAGGTATTGCTGCTCTATCTCTTTTATCTGCACTTATTTTGCTACTCCCATATTTTTGTGTATGTTATCAGAACAGACAATAGTGGGGATGGGTTAAATAAAAGGAAAAGGCAAAAAAAATAAAGACCACTCACTAAAGACGTGGAGAGTAAGAACTATGCACATGTAAAGTATGAATTTGTGATTTCTTATTGGGATTGTAAATAGATGGGGTGTGTAGTTTGCTTTATTTTTATTTGGAAACAAGCACATGTGTTAAACAGAAAACTGTCTGTAACAGGAAAAACATTCAGGATTGTGTTATAATTGGGTTTACTGCATAATATTTGAAGGGGTGAAATTTGGCATTTAACTTGTCTCCTGTGTGGTCCAGTCCATCTTCAGAGTAGCTTCAGCACTACATCATTCAAGGAATTATTGTTATGTGATAACATGGATTGCAGTGTTGTGAGATAAAATTTGTTTATTTTCCATTCACCCTCAAGTACAGTTGTAGGGGTATAGCATCTAACACAAGAATAACCATCTTTGCAGGCTTTGTATAAATCATATATAGACACAAAACATATACAGGGGTCAACAAACTCTGCTCATCCATGATGAGTGTATTGTTAATGTCTGTGATGTGATGTAATGTATATAAAGTATCTTGCCATTTGAAATAACCTTCTGAACTGGCATTCACAAGCAGGCTTATTTTAAAATGGTATGTGTAGCTTTCTGTAAGCTTTCATGATTGATATCTTTGTCTGTTACTGTCAATGATGCACTGTGAGAGTTTGTGTCTATGATTTCTCTTGATTTTCCAAGTTTTTTATGTTCACCCACAAGTAGAAATCAAGGTGTGTTAAGACTGGTGAACAAGGTTGCCAGGCACGTGGACCTCAACAAACAATCCAGTGGTATTCATAGCACAGATTCAACTACTATGTGACTTGTAGATAAGGTAGTGTGCCATCATGTTGTAGCCATGTTTGTTGAAGAACGAATGACCCATTTAGTTGATTGTCAATAAGACTGTGTGGGATGCAATGATCAAAGGATAATGGTAACAGATTTATCAGATAATTACATAACCAATGAGATTTCAGCCCATGTTGATATAAAATTTTTCACTCAAAATAAGCCAATGAATAACCACCCAGAGTTTTGGAAGACATTTCACTGGACACACTATATAAATACCATATTTATTCTTTAGAATTCAATTTTCTCATTGTTTGTTCACAAATAAGTCATTACACAGCTGCAGAAAGGTCAAATTGGCTAGGAATAGCATTGCTGAACAAGCGATGACTTGTTGCAGGTGTCTTATGCTCGCTCTGAGATGCATCTCACAGAAGTTCTTGAGACAATCTGTAATAAGATGGATGATTATGTGAGAGCTACATACAAAACTTCAGGAGAACTAACACTGTTACGACTCATTGGCGCAGATGGACAGATGAATCCAGACCTAAGCCACGTGGACATCATCCAAGATTCAGATCTTAACAAGAGCCTCAAATTTTATGTGAGTTACATTGATGGTACTAAATCAGAAATAGAAGTAATTAATTACTATGTGTGTTTAATTGCATCTGGTCTTTGTTACCCAAAAGGAAAGGAAGCAAAATATGGGAACACCTGTTTTAAATATAACACTCGGATAAGACTAGACTTAAAAATTGCCCCAATTTTTGTTGGAGAACTGTGTAAGACTAGCAGAGCTTTCGATCAAATTTCAGACAAATAAATATCAGTACTGGTTTATATCAGTTATATCCAGTCCCTGAGAAAATCATATGAATACAAGCCCAAATGATATCAAATAGTACAGTTTTTTGCACCTCACCAATGTGTTTTTACAGCCTGTTTATGTTTTTGTTATATTTGTTCACCCTGCATATTGAAGTATGTCGGAGTTACTTATTGCAACTTTAAGTAAATAAATAATAGAATAACAAATTAATTTTTTAACAAAAGTAACTAAGTACATATGAACCTGTTATCCAAGAACTTTTAATAAGCTTACATGAAGTTTCAATAAATCACCTACATAACTTAGTAGCAAGCAGTTCTCCCAGATAGGGCAAGAGTGGCCATAGTCTTAAAAGGTTCAGAACCTCTAATATAGTTGATAGAGATTTGTTTGTTAAATGGTGATTTACCCCATGTATATTTGTCAGCAACATTGTATCTATTTCAGAACAACTTATAAACCCTGCCTTTTTAATTAAAGAGAAATCTGGTAAAGCCTGGAAAATTCATTCTATATGAGGGCTGTTCAGTAAAGACTGAAAGTAAGTCTTGAAGGAACTTTCATTTATGGTGGTTGGTAGCACTGACAGCTATGAGTCAGCATCTGCAGTTATATGTTGCTGCATGTTGTACTTATGCTGTGACCTTGATTATAATGTATGCTTATCTCTTAAGTCACACATCCACTGTGTCAGATGATGAAAGCAGAACATGCTGCATTTAAATTTTGTTACCACTCAAAGAAAAGTCAATAACCTCACCCTCCTTACAGCCCAGGTCTAGCCCCTTGTTACTTTTCTTGTGTTTCCTACACTAAAAATGCAGTCAAGGACATTAACTTTAAAGTAAGCCATCATACTCTTGCATAGGTTCTGTTGGCTCATAAAAATAAACTGTGCAGGATTAAACATGAATCCATGTTCCTAAACCCTCTAGATGTAATTGGTCTCTGTTTCTTTCCTTCCTGACTTGCACCAAGAAAACAGTTATACAAGATGGTGTTATAAGACTTAGAAGAAAGTTGAAGGATTTTCTTCTTTGTGTTGTAAACCTTAATCAGATTGAGAAACTGAAAGAAGAAATCAAAGTATAGAAAAATTTGAAATATTGCTAGACTTAGAGATAGCATTTGGCATTGGGAAATGTTAGGACAAAAAACCTGATACTTATCCATTTCGACATATGTAATAGAAATTTAAATCAAATTCCTGTTGAGTATTCAGAAGCTAACAAATAGGATAAAATCTTAAATCAGGGCATGAAGTTGCAATGTGAAAGTACTGGGTCTACAATTTATGAGGCTGCAGTCGTGCTTGCATTGCGTGGTTTGCTGGTGCTCTGTTGATGTCGGCGGGAGTCGTGCGTGTTCTTCTGGTGGGTGACCGGCGAATCAGTTTCAGTGCCGCTAGTAACAGCGAACTACGAATATTTCTCGTCACTGATACATGTTATTACATTAATTGTTCTTACCTTGAATCACAAAAGATGTTCAAAGTCACTTCCTTGTGCTTGCAGGCAACTTCACATCTCGTTAACATGTTTTGAAATACTCGACGAAGCTCTTCTTGGGAAATTGTCGAAATCAATTGCCAAATATTTTCTTTAAGTGCTTCTGCAGAGTGCGGATTGTTTACATAAACCTTTTTCTTCAGCATGCCCCACAGGTAAAAGTCACACGGGTGTAAGTCTGGGGAACGTGGAGGCCATTGATCGATAACTTGTTTACCAAGCACTTCTCTTAATGCTAACATCAACCGATCAGCTGTGTGAGCTGTAGCATTCTCTTGCATGAAGAAACCGTAAGTCTTTTCTTCATCGGTCATTTCTTGGAAAAAGGGTCTTACTATTAAATTTACATAACGTTCAAAATTTACCCGCACACTGCAGAATCACTTAAAGAAAATATTTGACAATTGATTTCGGCAATTTCCCAAGAAGAGCTTCGTCGAGTATTTCGAAACATGTTAACGAGATGTGAAGTTGCCTGCAAGCACAAGTAAGTCACTTTGAACATCTTTTGTGATTTAAGGTAAGAACAATTAATGTAATAACATGTATTAGTGACGAGAAATATTTGTAGTTTGCTGTTACTAGCGGCACTGAAACTGATTCGCCGGCCGACCACGCAATGCAAGCACGACCACAGCCTCATAAATTGTAGACCCAGTAGATACACTTAAAGAATAGTTAGTGAAATTAAATTACACATTGATGCCATTATAGTTCCTTTGAGAGATCCAAAATGGGAAGACAATAAATGTATTCATTGGAGAGACCAAGAGAGAAGACACATAAAAGAGACAGGAAGAGAGCTCCAAGAGGTGTAATTATGGATGGGAAAAAAATGGAGAATGTTTGTCATGAGATTATAAGAGATGTGTTTATATATATATGGCTCTTTCAGAAATGTGGTAAGCATTGGTTTTAAGGTAAAGTGTGCTTTTCCATTTGTAGTGTGAAGGCATTGTGGAGGAGTATGAGGAGAATATCCTGCGACTATTTGGCAGAGATGCAGATAACATAGACATCAAGCTATGCTCCAATGAAGCAAATCTGTGTTCTCACTCAGAGTCAGACGCCGATGACTATGAGTTTGAAGATAGGGATGAATTGTGATGGTGTGTTCAATGTAAACATGTTATTTAATTATTGTTATTATTGCATTACATGTCTATAATTGTAATATTTTTACCAGAAATGTATTCAATGTGTCTTCCATGATTTTAAAATGAAGTACAAAATTGTTTTCTGTTATTGCATTGTTACTAAATTGTTAAAATAAATCAGAACATTTTTAAGGAACTTACATATGAAATTCAGTGATCAATTTACCCAAGCAAGACCTTACTAATAAAAAGTGCAAGTGCCTATATCCCATATAATTGAAAACATTAATGTGTATTATTTTCCTATTTTAGAACACATGACTTGTGTATTATGTGCAAGTGTAATTACTCATAAAGCCTATCCTTTACATCATCATCATGGGACATGCACACTTACCAATATCAATCACACTCCAGTCTGAAGAATTAACATTGACATCATAGTAGTATTAAAAATGAGTTTTAGCAATAAAAACTCTGAAGACAGCCATCTTCGTACTCACCACTGTGAGAACTTAAAATCCTACTTGGCAGTAACACATTTTGCTTTCTTAACTGCTGTTTCAAGATTCTACTTTGCCTAAAACCCAATTCCAAAGCTGTAGTGCTTGTTATCTTTCCATATTAAAATAAATATTTTCTCATTCCATGACTACCATAATCAGGCAACCAAACCTCTGTATGCTTATCACTAGTTAAAATAATTAATTAAAAGCATTGCTATTGGTGTTTTTATTAGTACACTTTTGATGTTTCAGTTGGTTGTGATGGCCCTGTTTGTATTGTTCTTCTATTGATGTTGTCTGCATTATATTGTATAATTGTATTGATGTTACAAATCCTAGTTGTGTTGTAATGTTTGGCCCCTGTCTTGTCCTTTGTGTGTGTGTGTGTGTGTGTGTATGGTCAACAACTGATCAGGTATTCTACACTTCTCAGACAAGTAGAGAAAATGTGAGTACATTGAGACAGAGCATCATCTTTTTTACAGACTTCAAGAAAGCCTATGATTTAGTCACAAGAGAACTATTACACAGTATTCTCACTTAATTTCACATCATCATGAAATTAGTATGACTAATTAAAATGTATTTAACCGTTTGAAGCCAAAGCATGTTTATGAATTCAGTCCATACCTGAAAGAAAACACATCTCCATGACAATGATAAACTGGTTAATGCTATTTTAGGAAATAATATCTTAGCTCTTCCATGTGAATACATATTCTCATTAATGAACTTTATTGTAAATAACCAAGAACATTTTCAAACTAATTCTGCTATACACAGAGGATGTAGAATAAGTCATAATAATACATGTTATACAAATACAAGTCATACTATCATATAAATGTCACAAAATACAAAGGGTTCACATAAAGTAGAGATAAGTTACAAATAAATCCACCCATTATATTATTATTATTTAGTGTTCTGTCTGACGACAGGTCCATATGAACAGGATCCTTCCATCCTTTTCTCGGACTGGGACCTGTTTATATACGTTCTTGGCAGATGATCCAGAAGTGGTTTGCCATTGCCTTCTTCTGTACCCATTATATACAATAGAAAAAATTATGACGTACTTGTAAACATTAGAAATTCATCGACAGAGTAAAAGGAGTGTGTAATTAAGTATCTTTTTAATGCTGGTTTAAATTGTGCCTTTTTATTTACAAGACTTGTACTGCCTGCACGCAGTCACGATGCTGATTTGTTCATCACAACTCGTTCATTCGGAAGTTACATCACCACTGGGAGCCCATCGTTTTACTAAATAAATGCTTTACTCAAGCTGGTTTAATAAATTAGTGGGATTCAGCTAGACATTTTATTGCAATTACACCAATTGGCACGGTTTAGAGAAGCCAAATCCTACGAATAGATTGTAATACATAATTTTGTGTCGTTAAATTATTAATGGAAATTCACAGAAGAAGAAACGAAGGTTTTCGTCACTCTTAGTAAGCTAAGACATAACTACATTTACTCAATTTGGAACGAAGTGGCTGGAAACATGACGAAAAACACTGAAGCAACATGTATTACCTTCCTATGTAGTTTAGGTTCGTTACGTATTCGAATTAACATCAACTGCCGAAAATTGCAATAATAGTGTGTCGTACTAGTATTGTCATTGGTCTTATACAGGAAACAGTATTACACTGGCATTCGGTATCAACATTAGCAGTTACATGTGCAGAATTGTAAAACTCATTATTCAAGCGACTGAGGTGTAGCCAACTCATGTTCACGGAATGTATTATATATTTAATCTGGTAAACGGTATGCATGGCACCATACGTTAGGAATAAAATCATATGATTCTGCCTGAAAATAAGCCAACGCAAGTTGCTGTACCCGGATATTCACGTCGGCTGATTTTGTTTACACACTCCATTTTCAAGTATTGGTGTAATGATTGAATAGTCGTAGCGCATATTAAAGTTCAACTGTTTTACGAAACATGGCTGTGTGCGTTAATGTTTAAGGTATGGGAATTGGCTAATTTCTGTTAGAATATTATTGAGTGTGATATGGTTAGCAAATGAATAGTTTGCCACTGCGTATGTACAAATAAATTTTTGAAGGTAAGTGTTTCTTGTAGCTGCAACTAGATAATCAGTAAAAGCTAGGTTATAGTTTCATATAGGTTAGTAACTTCAAAGTGATATCAAATAACTCTACATGCAGAAATGTGAATTCTTACATTGCAGCACAGCATTGATATGCTGATGTTTGAAGCAGACCCTGCACATTACCAGTTGTGCTCGGATTTGGGTCATTGCTGTGAAGATATTGCTACAGTCCATCTTGCCAGACATCTCCCTTCTGGTACACTGGTTGCTATTAAAAAATTTAACATGGACAAATCAAAGCAAGAAGCAAATCTTATCCAGGCAAGTATACATATCTTTCACTCACTATCTTATTTGTGGTGCCCTACAGAGTAACATTACTCAAAGTAGGGGCTGAAGTACCTGCCTGTTTTCGTCTGTCACAAGAAATTCTCAAATTATTCGTCACTTCAGTATGCCATTATTAGTAGTAATTTTTTGCAGAGTTTAATTAATATAACAATAAATTAGGATGGGGAACTTTTTGATGCAGATGACTTTGAAAGAAACCAAGCACCTGTTTAGGATGTGGAGTTGGTCCAACTCTTACCTTTAAACAGGGAATAATTTCTATATTAATATTAAGTTAATTATTGGCTTTTATATTTTATTGCAAAATATAATGAGAAATCTGAAATGCCTTATATTACTTGATTTGATTATTTCTGGATACATACATTCACAGTATCTTGTATTTCATGTCTCTTATGCATATTACTACTTTAAATGAGAGCATCCACATTATTGATATTCTCTCTTTTCTGTATGAAACTTTGAAGATTTTGACATTTTTAATAAGAAATTATATATATAATAAACATCCTCAGGTCACAGATAGAGGTGACAGCCACTAGATGTGGAGGATAGCTGTAAATATGTTGAATAAGCCCAAGTGATAGTTTAACTGGGATCTAACAGCCCCTCATTGTAAAAAAAATTAGCATATTATAAAATGTCATAAATAACCTTGGACTTGGATTTGTTGTTTTCACAACCTAAGCAACAAAAGGATATGACCTTTAGAACTTGGCACATCAGGAATTTTTATTGGGCAGGTTCATTCATATCAGTAGCAAGTCAATTAGAAAAATATAATTTCGATTTAGTGGTATTACAGGGATCATATGGGACAAAAGTAGCATTGAACTAACAGATGGTTTAAAATGTATGTCTAAAAAAGGAATGATACTTTTCACTTGGGGTAAGGTTTTCTTGAAGGGATTCAGATCAGAAGAAAGCTGAGTCTATTAGCAATGGGATGTTATATGTAATAGGTCTTTGGAGTGATGTTTTTTTGTGTGTGTGTGTGTGTGAAAAGAAGAGACCTTGGCATAAATATGATGATGATAAAATGGATGTTAAGTGAAGAGAATGTGAAGGTGTTAACTACATTCAGCTGACTCAGAGCCAGGTTTGTTGTAGGGTTTTGTGAGTATGGTGATGAATGTAGCATTTGAGGTTCACATGATGATGAGTATGAATATGGCTGACTTCTGGGTTGTAGCACTGTGTACTGATGATGGAGGCAGCAAGGACCTCTGAAATGTTCTTAAAATCCTACCAGACTACACAGTGCTAGAAACCAGAAGGCAGCCATCTTCATATTAAACTTCCATAAAAAGCAGGATATTCAGCTTCTAAAGCAAGACTGCTTCACAGAGTTTCTGTGTTAAGTTAATGTTTCATTATAGTGAATTCTCAGAGTGTTTGGTAAATTCTGACCATATTAATGAAGTGTGTGATGTGGAGCCTTGTTTTACAGCATGAGATAATCCTGACAAGACAGCTGCAGCACCCTAATGTTCTGCCATACTATGCAGCATTTGTGTCTGGTCCAGAGGTGGTCGTTGTGGCACCCCTGATGGCATATGGTTCTTGCAGGGATCTGCTGTCTAGTCATTTTACAGATGGTCTTCCTGAGGCAGCCATTGCTTTCATTCTTCGCGATGTTCTCCAAGGACTAGATTATGTCCATCGAAAGGGATACATTCACAGGTATGGTAGGCTGAATGAAAAGATGCCTTGAAAATTTGTTGTAGTCATTGTTGCAGCTTCCACGTCTAAGTTGTCAAATTCAAAATAAATATATCTCCATGGTGTATGAGCCAAACACAATGTCAGTAGTTATGCAACAATATGAATTGGCAAAATAACAAATCAGATACTGCGGGTTTTGATACTAGTGCATGTTTTGTTGAAACTTCCAGGCTACAATATTTGTTGTGACTGCTTCTAATGCTAAAAAGAGGCAGTTAGTCATTGGCTTCGTACTGTGGAAACCTGGATGTAATCCTAGGACAATACATGTGTGATTTGTGGTGGACAATGTGTATATTGTTCTAATGTAGTTCCCATTTTATATGAGTTGACAGATGAAAACTTTCCAATCTCTTCTACCTTCTTACTGTATTTCTCTTTTATTTCTTGTCAACATCTCCTCCTCTTCTTGGTGTCTTCTAATACCTGGCTGAACCACCTTATTCTGGGTTACTCTATGGGTGTCTTCTTTAAATGCTACTTCTAACATGTGTCATATCCTTGTTCTATCCATTTTCTCTGAATGTTAAAACCATTTTACTCATGTCTCATTTAATTCTGTTTATAAATTTTGGGTTTGAGCTACTTTTATATTTAATTCTGCCCCTTCTTGTTTTTCCATCAATCAAAAATCATTTCACATCCATTTCATAGAATTTAATTTATTTTGGTTTCTCATTGTAAGGGTCCATGTTTCAGTGTTAAAAGTTAGAATTACTTTAAAATCTACTTTGTAATTTTTTTGCATTGTTTTGGGATGTCTCTTTTCCATATTACTCTTCTATAGTTCAATAGAATTTAGATGAACTGATCATCATTTTTCTGTTGGTCTCTCCATCAATTTTTCACTTCTGAATTTATGTCATTGATGTGGTTATTTTCACATTTGTGTCTTGATTTCTTGAAATTATATAAATATGTTTTACTTTTAGAGTGCACCAGTATTCCAAGAATATTTTCATAAGTTTTATAATTGAGTCAAGGGAATTTGTTAAGAGGGTGATGTAAATGTTTAAAATATGCAATTTTTAAAAATGAAGTGACAAATAAACAATTTTAAGTCTTACGTCTTTTCAACAAAGTTGAGCCGTGTCGTCTTGTTATTAGACAAAACAGAATGTCTAAATTTTATTGCATCTTATTGGTTGGATACTCTTTAAGTATTATTATTTGTTGTGTCTGAATTTATTCCCTGCTGTAATGTTTTTATAAACAGTGCAAGCTTCCTTTCCAGCCACCTATCAGCCATTGTCTTCATTATTGTGTGTTATCAATTTGAAAGGATGAGTTTGACTGCTGGGCATGTCTTCCAGAGCAATACGTGCCAGCCACATTTTAGTGTCAAGTTGTGGACGGGCGTGCCTATCTGGGCTGCGTTATGCATGTCGGATAGTAGAGCATGGTCGTTGGCAGCGTTCTGTGCACTCCTTCCCTTGCAGCACAGCGTGCAACCTAAACTGGCTGAGTCCTGAGGTGCTGGAGCAGGTGAGAATTAATGCTGCCTACTTCACTCCTTCCGTGGAAGGAAATACCTCATTTTCAGTGTATTTGGTGCCTTATAGTTTCTCTGAGTGTCTCTTTGATCATGTTAGTTGTGACTCATGTAATTTGACAGGGGGAATTGGTAATAGCTATTGAGTCTGTTTGGACCAGTGTTTTTCCACTGCCATAATCTTTTGACTGGTGTGCCATGTAATGGACTGGGGTTTTGTAGCTGAAATGTGGATACAGGCCAGGGCAAACTTGTTTGAAATTAAATGAGCTGTACAAGCCTTTGTGCAATAATTTGCCATCTTATAAATTGTTTGTATAAAGAATTTTGCAAGCAGCTTCTGTTTGCCCTGAATTCCAATTTCTTTCACAGTTTGTAGTGCCTTCGACTGGCATGTTTCACTTGACACAGCATAACCAAACTGCCACCCCTTATTTAAATATGAAAAAAGCAAACTTTTCTTTTGCCTCTGAAAACAGTGTTTTTTGCTAACAGACAGACTGACTACCTATTTGTAGAGAAAGATTGTTTGTTTTCAGCATCAGATGCAATTTCCACTCACATAAAACGTTGATTTATTATTTCTTCTGCTTCTCTTGCAATCTTAATTTTCTCTCTGATAGTAATTGATCACATTCACTATGTTTCATTCATTTCCAACTTTTGTAATTATATTTGACTCTTACAGCACTAAAACTGTTGCACATGAAGTATCAGTGTGACTGAGATTTCTGTATTCAGCAAGGACTGTCATATACTAATTGAAAACAGTGGACAGTTTACCACCTTGTGAGACCTGTTGTGTTTTAATTGCAGTTGAAATTTAAATTTTTAATATTATTTAAATAATTTTTAGCCTTCAGTACCTGTTGTAAGGGCATGATGCGCCACTGTTCCCTTACCTTTAACCACTGCACTGATTTTGTTATTCATATGAAACTTTGCCATTCTTAACACTTCTAGTAAAGATAATCCCACATTTTTCATGTTTTATTGACAGAATTTGCATGGATACAATGAGAAATCAGATGTGTACAGCATAGGAATGACAGCGTGTGAACTTGCAAATGGAGTCGTTCCATTTGCACACACGCCAACCACGCTGATGCTGACGGAAAAGGTCCGAGGCTGTGCGCCACAGTTGTTGGACCACTCTACACTGCCATCTTTATATGATGACGATGGGGGACAGCAGTCAGCACTCCACGGTACTAGCCTCTCTGCTTCACATATTAGTTCTGGTTCACTACTGTTCCCCAGTTACAAGTCTTTAATAATATATTTAATTTGTAAGGAATGCAGAAAGTTTGGTGCAATTATTTGTTTAAAAGCTTTACCGTCTTACTAAGAAATTTAATGTTAAATGATAATATATTAGCAGTATGTTGCAGAAAATGCAAATTGATTTAGTCATTATTTTGGAAGTGGTAGAACATATGAGTATGCACATCACATGAGCTGTACTGAATTTTATGGCAGATATGGTGAAATTTTTTTCAGCTTTAAGGGAATTTACAATATCAGACAGAGTTTCTGTCAATTTGGAAAGTAGCAGATTAATAGAAATTGATCTCATTAACTTTGGAAGGGAGAAATATGTGCTTGTGTCAGCGTTACAGGAAATAATGAAATGTAAATTCACTTTCCAGAACTACAACAATCATATTATTAATGTAAGTGATGATAAATGTGTGGAAGTTGACAAAAAAGATTGATGCTAGGTTATGCATGATTAAGAAGCAAGGAGCTCAGCAAATCAGATTTGCAGCTGTATACAGAAAAAAAATCTTGGCTACATGAAAATCAATTAAGCCAGGTTGGAGGTACATACATACATCATATGTGTATACGTATGATATGAAGCGTTTAAGTGATTAGCACTCTTGCTGGTCAAGAGTATGAATTCCAGTCTATAAACCAGCTGTCATAACTGAAGCTGTTCATGGTTTCCCTCAGTCCCTCCAGGCAAGTACTGGAGTATATCTTAAAATAACCTTATTTACCTCCAATTCATCATTCGCAACATCCTCCTGTTTTATGCTAAGTATGTATACAGTTGTTAACGTACTCAAAGATGAGTGACCTTGAAATAGCTGCTACACCTGGCCGTTCATGAACATACCTGGCAAATGAATGGCCTTTTGCTGTGGTAAGTTGTTAACTGGCAGTGCATCATGCAGACTCTGGTGTAGGGGACAGCGTGGCCAGCAACATGATGCAATTGAAGGCCGTGCAGCAGCGGAGGTTCTCGGAACCCTTTCACCAGTTAGCTGAGTTGTGCCTCCAGAGGGACCCCACCCTGCGGCCATCGGCCAGTCAGCTCCTCGCACACTCCTTCTTCAAGCAGTGCCGTCAACGTCATGCCGACACCGCCCCAACTGTGCCGCGCCTCCTGCACCCGGTCATGCCAATCTGTGATCGCAGGGTTGACAGCCAAGGTAATCTGCAGGCTTTCTTCACTCTACAATAACATTTATCAGATTTAACAAAAATGGTTCTCCATTACCTAAAAAGTATATAACAGAAGATAATAATATTGTATACTAAGTTTTGTTGTTTTTATAAAGTGATTTTAGTGTTTGTGTAAACTCATCGGATGTGTAGATCTTTATAGGGAAATTGCCTAGATAACTGAAATCTGTTTGCAGATGATTTGGCTTCCATCTTGGCTGCTGAGAAGCTCGCAGAGTTAGAAATTGAACCTGACCAGTGGGACTTCTGAACTGCCTTGTTTGCAGCTCTTCTATGAAGAGTTGTTCTGCTGACTACAAGTGTCTTAACTCCCTGCTTATGCATCAGCTTCCTTCTGTTCGTGTAATGGCTTGAAGGCAGCGTTATAATTATTGTAATATAGAAGAGCATAATGATGGTACAAAGAACCACAAAATATGTAATTTATGTTGTAAAAATGTGATAGGGAATAAAGGAACTGTTATCTTAATGCTTATTTCTAGGGATGTGAGAAAACTGGTTTTTGGTTAGAATTTGAATGTTAAATTCTGAAACATTTCCTCTGGTCACTGACTGCAGATATACAAAGCAAAACAACTACTCTGTCCTGAAGATGGAAACAGCGTGTTTCTCTGAATTGTTGGTATCTAACCACAAGCTCAGACACAAAATACCTGCACTGCTATGAGAACCTTAAATCTCACAAAAATGTAGTGGTTCTTTGATGGCAATTTGATCGACAGGAGTATTTCTGCCTCCCCTGAGAAATTGTATTTTTGAAAATTCTCAACTTCACCTTCTACTATGGCTCTCCGGTCTGTATTCGGTCCATGGCCTCAATTCTCCTCTTCCATTCGGTCCTCTGTTAGGTCCGTCTCTCCGAGTTTGAGGTTTCGAAACATCTTCCTTTTTACGGTGCAAGGTTGTTAGCCTTGCAACCAACCCCCAACCTGGAGGACCAGGGTACCTGTCTTAGTCTGACCCCTCCCCCTCGACCAATACGGCTAGGGAGGCCCTACCAGTAGCTATGCTACCGCCAGCCAACTTCACCTTCGGGTCAACAATATGACCAATCCTCTGCTGGCTTGTTCAGAAGTTCAAATTTGTGATGTAAGAGAAGTATGAAACTTCATTCCAAGAGAATGTCAGTTTGCAGTGGACACAGCAGGCTAATATATGACAGTGCTGTTCATCTGGAGTCCAGCACTGCCATAGACGCCTTGTACCGTGCGTTTTTGGATAAATGGACTTCGTGTGAATGGATGTGTCCGGGACATTTTCCATTATAAGACTGATGTGGGGAAACAATGTTCTTTTGAATGACGTATACAGTAGCAACAATTTAGCCATTGTTATGATTGTAGGTATGAATATGGATATAAATAGATATACATAGTGAGGCAGACACTTCTTAAATACATTAAATGGCTATATACGTGTGATGGATTAAACAGACTAAACTAGTGTGGTCTGACAGCTTACAAGCCACATCCAGCACAAATCCACACGTAACCAAGCCCACAGAATTATTTGCTAATTTGCCACAAGTTACTACAAGCTCATTTATTTGTTTTATTTCAAAGGATTTGAAACAGATTGTGATTCTTCATCTACTACTTTATGTAAATATGTCACATATGATAAAAGTAAAGTAAATTTTGTCCCACTATACGCCATGTAGGCGCGTGGGGTGAGAGGAGGTATAGCTCCTCTCTTCCTTGACCTCAGCACTAAATGGGAGTGAGTGGTCAGCATCACGCCCCGGCCGGCTTTACCCCCGGGACCCATTGTAGAGGAGGCTGGGTGGGCCCCAGAGCCGGTCTGGACGCAGAGGCTAGAGGAAAAAAATCCTCTGCCCCCGTCGGGGATCGAACCCCGGTCGTCCAGCCCGTAGCTAGTCACTATACTGACTGAGCTATCCCGGCTCATTGTCACATATGATATTAACTTTAAAATTCTACCATATAATGTAAATTTTCCAGGTAAGATACGATAAAAGCTGCTGGAGGAGCAACTTTAAAATATGTCTCCTTCTAGTACTTTGTGCACATTTAAGTAATATTTATATTTGTGATGGAAATAACGATTTCTTAAATACTTTGGTGTAAACGAAATAAATGAGATCATGGTAACTAGTAACAAATAAACAGACAATTTCGTGGATTTGGCCACCAGTTTCATCATGTTGGATAAAGGTATTTTATAGCAGTATAAAACTAACCTCTTTAGTTAATAAAGCTGTCGGAGTGTTAAACTGACCACTAACCTCTGTGGTTGCGAAATACATTAAAGAAACCTTGCATAGCTTCTTAAGAGTACCAACGCAGCACTTTGAGGATCTGTTTAAAACTTGTTAATGCTAGCCTGTCTCTGACCCAAGAAATAAAACCATTACCTTCAAACAAAAGTGATCAACCTGCATCTAATCACAAGACCTATTAACAGTTCGAAGCTTCGCATGTTCGTTCTTGCACTACTTGAAGACTTCATGCTTCGCGACTAGGGCACCTGTAAGGCTGACGTACAGTGAGCCCACGTTCTTAGTTGACTCATTCCGTAGCTTACTCTAACATCGTAATTTTCGTATCCTTGGTCGGTTTCCTTTATCCGTAATTTTGTTAATTGCCGTGCATTCCTAAATATGACTCACAGAGTGTAGTAGCGCCTTGCGCTGTAGACTACCGAAAGCATCCCCGTTTATTCGCAAGCGAGTAGTATTACCGACGATTTTATCCTTATTAATCTATTTTTACGTTAAAATTAGTGGGCACATATAAGCAATTGAGAAAGCTCAGAGGCCAACAGTAGTTACATCTTAGGAAATTAAATTTAAAATTGTTGCTGTGTTTTAAGCTTGGGAACGAGTGGTTATTAGAAATGTGGAAGCTGGTCTTAACTGAAATGATGAAGACTACAATCCAACCACCTCTAGATAATTTTTTCAAGATGACGGGTGATTCACAACCCTCAGTTTCTGCACTCTTAAGTTTCTTAAAATTGTTCAAATGTTAATTACTTTCTTTTAATTTAATTCTATACATATGCGTACGAATAAAATGTTTCCTATAAAATATTAAACTAGCCTAGATGTTTGTGCCGTATTATCCAAACAATGTGTTTTATGCTCAATTATATAATTTCCCCGATACGAATTGTCATTTTAACATAGGATTCAATAATTTAAATTCGTTGTTTAATTACACATCGCATTTTTAAGGACCCAGTTAAGGATGTCGAGATCTTACTGGCCTGTGAAAGTATATGATGACGCCTATAATTGGCACTGTTCGTACAGTTTGGTTAGGCTTTATGCACCACTTAAGTTAACATTCAGTAACTCTGCATTTTACCTGCTGGTTATATTTATGGGTTTCTTACAATTCTCCTTTCTCTAAATAACATTAACCGGTAACCACTTATTATTTATAATGAAGATGTGTTGTGTTTTCTTTTAGTTAGAAACTGGATTTTTAATATTATTCAGATTGACTTGTTCTGTGTTACATTATTATAGAAACGTAAGTCTATTGAAGTTGTGAATACGTTAGTGGCTCACATGCGAGAGGAACATTAAGATTCCTACATTCCTTGCATCCGGAAGGGTACATTGGCATATGAAAATTATCCTCTTGCTACAAAATTAATCCCAAACTGTCAACCACAAGGTAAAAATTTCATTGTATTTGTCTAAACTTGCCATTTGTTACCACCTTAACTTCCATGTATCATAAGGACGAACGGGCGAAGCGTGGGAGCTTTCTAACAAAGTATAATCTCGAAATAGTGGCTCTCATTTATTCCCATGATTTTATTTTCGTTTTTCTTATGTTCTCGTGCCTCAAAGGGTTAATTTTATGGAACATTGTATTTTCTTCGCAATTTAGTTATAGCCTGTGTTGATATATACCCTCGTCTTTTTCATTAGTCTTCCCTTTTATCTGAAATTTTAGATTATCCTGCCGTCCGACT